GAGGAGGAGGAGGAGGAGGAGAGGAGGAGGAGGAGGAGGAGGAGGGAGGAGGAGGAGGAGGAGGGAGGAGGAGGAGGAGAGGAGGCGGAGGAGGAGGGAGAGAGGAGGAGCGAGGAGAGAGAGGAGGAGGAGGAGGAGGAGGAGGAGGAGGAGGAGGAGGAGGAGGAGGAGGAGGGAGGAGGAGGAGGAGGAGGAGGGCAGGAGGAGGGAGGAGGAGGAGGGGGAGGAGGAGGAGCGGAGGAGGGGAGGAGGAGGAGGAGGCGGAGGAGGAGGGAGGAGGAGGAGGAGGAGGATGAGGAGGAGGAGGAGGGAGGAGGGGCGGAAAGGAGGGGAGAGGAGGAGGGGGGGGGTGAACTGGGGGAGGGCTTCTTGTGTGTGTTGTGTGTGTACGAGGGGAGGAGGGGGGAGGGGGGTGGGGGGTCGAAGCGGGGAGGAGGGCATGGGGGGAGGGGGGTAGGGGGGGGGGGGGGGGGGGCCAGGAGGTGGAGGGAAGCTGGAGGCGCAGCGCCCCGCACTTTTCGCCGCGGTGCCGGGGGCAGCGCGGTCTCCGCCCAGGGGCGGCCATGGTGATTCCTGCACGGGGAGGCGGGGGAGAGGAGATGCCCAATGTCCCGGCGCCGTGATCTTTTACACAGCGTGGACCTCCGGAAGTCTCGACCCACTCCCCGGGACCAGCCTTTCATCCCGAGTCGTTCTTTGACGGCCCTCGGACCTGGTTAGGGCCCCCCGAGGCCGAAAGCGGTGCCACATCTTCCACCGTGTGTGTGTGTGTGTGTTGTGTGTGTGTGTGTTGTGTGTGTGTGTGTTGTGCATGTGTCGTGTGTGTGTGTGTGTTGTATGTGTGTGTATGTGTATGTGTTGTGTGTGCTGTGTGTATATCGTGTGTGTGTGTCTGTGTTGCGTGTGTTGTATGTGTTGTGTGTTGTGTGTGCATGTGTGTGTTGTTTATGTGCGTGTGTGTGTCGTGTGTGCATGTGTGTGTGTGTGTGTGTGTGTGTGTGTGTGCGTGCGTGCGTGCGTGCGTGCGTGCGTGCGTGCGTGCGTGCGTGCGTAGGTGAGTGCGCGCGTCGTGCGTGCGTGCGTGCGTGCGTGCGTAGGTGGTGCGTGCGTGCGTGCGGCGTGGTGCATGTGTCGTGCATGTGTGTGCGTGTGTGTGTGTGTGTGTGTGTGTGTGTGTGTGTGTGTGTGTGTGTGTGTGTGTGTGTGTGTGTGTGTGTGTGAGTGTTCTGTTTTTGCTATGTGTCTTTGTTCGTTTTCGCAACGAGGGGATGTCAGGGGAGGATGTGGCGGAGGCGGCGGAGGAGGCGCAGGAGGAGGAGGAGGCGGAGCGTCCTCAAGAATGTCTGATCTCCTTACCTAGCCACTCTGCGTGCCCGACAGGGCTGCTCGACAAGCTCGCTCGCTCGATCGCCAGGGCTGCACGACAAGCTGTTGACCTCCCTTCTGGAGGCGATCTGGCCCGACGGGCACGCAGAGTGGCTAGGCGCAGGAGGAGGAGGAGGAGGAGGAGGAGGAGGAGGAGGAGGAGGAGGAGGAGGAGGAGGAGGAGGAGGAGGCGGCGGCGGCTCTCGCCAGGCCAGCGGGCGTCTCGGGTCGAGCGCCGCCCTCGGTGGCGCGAGTCTGCGGGTTGGTCCGCTCGGCCGGGGGAGCGGCTGGGTGCGGCGGGGCCGCGGGGGGCCCGCCTCAGTCGGAGCCCTGCTTCTTCTTCGTTAGGTTGACTGTCTCGCGCTTGAGGACGTGCAGGAGGGTCTGGGACGACTCCAAGATCTTCATGTACGCGGCCTCGGTCTCCTGGATGGTCTTGTCGTACTCGTGGCGCGCCTGCGTCTTGCGCACGAGGCTCTCGTTGATCTTCTGAAGCCGGTCGGTGAGTATGGAGAGCTCCTTCTGGATCTTGGCCTTGTCCTCCTCCTCCTTCAGGATCTGGCGGTTCAGCTCCTCCCGCTTCTCGCGGAGGTCCTCGATAGACTTTACGAGCTCGTTGTTGTATCCCTGCAGCGTCGACCCCTGCGACGCCATGCGCCCACCTCGGGGGGGCGTTCCTGGCTGCTCTGGGGGTCGCCGAGCGGCGGAATGCGGGGGTCCGCCCTGAGCCAAAACGGCTTCGGAGCAACGAGGAGGGGAGCGTATAAAAGCCCGAGGGCATACGAAGACCGAGGGTATAAAAAACACAGAGGGTACAAAGCTGCCGAGGTTGTTGAAGAGGGTACGAGCAATCAACTCTTACCCTGGACAAGCCGAGGGTTTGTTTTATACCCTCGGTTCCTCAAACCCTCGCGATCGGGTAGGACGACCGCAGCGGGGCAATTGAGGAGGGCTTGCCGAAGCAGCTCATGCGTACCTGGTTCCTCGGGCGCCTCCCTGCGCCTCCCGGCGCCGACGCATCGAGGAAGCCACCCCGGCGGCGGGCCCGCAACGGGCTGCACGCATCAGATTTCGTACCCGTCCCTTTCCAGGTCCCCCCCCCTCGCCTTGTTCGATGTGAGGCCAGATGAAAGGGCCCTGGGACACACAAATAGATACACACACATCAAAAGATTCCCCTATATTTTTTCCAATATTTTCCGGGTTTTTGTCTTCCCCACCACTTCCCATATTTTCCTATCTTTTCTGGGGAGTCGACGATTACTTGTGTCTGTGTGTTGTTTCCCTCCTGGTCAGAGTTGGCCCGGGTGGGAGGCGCAGGTCCAGAGCAGACAGCAGCAGCAAGGATGGCCACGCGCACAACAGCGGAACGAGCCGAGGGATCGAAGGAAGAAACCATCGCAAGCGCGAGTGCTTGAGGGGACCGAAACGACGCGAGCGACCGTGGACCGACCGCACCGAACGAACCCGAAGGGCCACGTAATTACCAGGGCGCAGGCGCCGTCGCTGGTTGCGCTTCTCAGGGCTTGGCGACACAGACCTGCACCGCGCAGAGCGCAAGCTCGGATCTTGCTGACCGCCTGCGAGCTGGCGGCGTCGGCAGGTCATGCGCCGCCTGCTGCCCCTCCCCGCCGACGCAGCGATTCCTTCGTGACGTGGGCCCCAGGGCGTCTCGACCCCTTCTCCCGGGGCCCGCTTCCCCTCCCCAGCCGACGCTTCGCGGCCTCTGCCCCCACCCCCAGGAGGCCGAGCGTGGTGGAGAGCCGGCCGTCTCGATGCCTCCCTGCGGCGCACTGATCTCGGGGGGCCCCTCCCTGCCCCTCAGACGAAACCAGGACCAGAGGAGGGGGATGGGGTAGGAGGAGGAGGAGGGAGGGGAGGCGGAGGGGGAGGGGGAAAGGGACGAGGAAGAGGAGGCGGAGGAGGAGGAGCAGGAGGAGGAGGAGACGGGATAACATCGGACCAAGACGCATCGCGGATCCCTGAGGTCTGGCGGCTCTGGAAATTGCGCTGGGCGCCGCGGACCGTCCAGAGCGTTCCGGGACGCCTTGGAACGACGACGACAACGACGACGACAATGACGATGACGATGACGATGACGATGACGACGACGACGACGACGACGACGACGACGACGACGACCGACGACACGACGAAACGAACGACGACGACGACACGACGACGACGCACGACGACGACGACGGACGACCCCCGACGACGACGACGACGACGACGACGACGACGACGACGACGACGACGACGACGACGACGACGACGACGACGACGACGACGACGACGACGACGACGACGACGACGACGACGACGACGACGACGACGACGACGACGACGACCCTCGCGCGACCCCCTCGCGCGAGAGCCGCCGGAGGACGTCCTGCACATGGGGCGCGTCGGGCGCGCCGTGGACGAGGCCGCGGAGCGCGCCGGCGGTTGCCGCATCAAGCGGCTGCTCGTCGTGCCTGGCGGAGCCCCGCCCGAGCCCCGCTCCTGGCCTGCGGCTGGGTTGCCGCTGGCCAGCCGCGCCGCGCGGCCGCCGCGCGCCGCTCTCGGGGCGACGCGGGCGCCGTGAGCGCGCAGCGCAGCGCTTGCCGCACTGCCTGGCCAGCCGTCTCGGCCGGGCGCCTCGCGGGCGGAGGCGGCGCGGAGTGGCCTCGCCGCGCCGCCCGCACGTCTCCAGGGCCAAGGGGGGCACTGGCCGAGGCGAGGACAGCGGCCCTCGGCATACCGCTACCTCTTGGCAGCCTCTGCCGCTGCTGCCACCGCGCGGTCGCGGCCGGCCCTCTGCTGCGCTGCTCCGCGAGGGGCGCTGGTCCGCAGTCTTCCTCGCTCTCGTCCTGGGCCTCGTGGTGGGCATGCGGTGCGGCCGCGGCCGCAAGAAACCCAGCCCCACAAATCCGCGCGCGAGACGCAACTGGGGGGAGGCCCAGAGCGCCCTGAAGTCAGCCACAACTTCTGAACGCCCACGGAAAGTCACCGCGCAGCGTGCGAAGCGAAGACGACCAAAATAGCCTGACGAGAAACCTCTGGTTTCTTCGTGCGCGTCCCCGCTGTATATGATATCCGTGCTGGTGTTCCTCGTGGAGACGGCCGTGGAGTCGTCCAACCTGCGTCTCCTCGCGCTCCGACCAAGAGCCTGCTGTTCAACCCGCGTGGGGTCGCTCAGCCTGCAGACGGAACCAATGCTGTGGCCGACCGGGGATCGTGTTCGTGGTGCTCTTGCTCGAAAGCAGCCGCTGCGCGTCCGCCTTCTGCTTCGCGGGATCCTCCGTGTGCTCTTCTTGCTCACGGCACAGGCCAAGGCACCTGCAGGGACGAGGGCTAATGTTATGCTCCAGATGGGTGCGCCGCTCCTGACGGTGGTCGTGCCCCTCGTCATGGATAGGGAACCACCCGAATAGTAGTCTTTCGAAAGAGGCTCAAGCTGGAAGGGGAGGATGATGATGATGATGATGAGGAGGAGGAGGAGGAGGAGAAGGAAGAGGAGGAGGAGGACGAGAAGGAGGAAACGGGGGAGGAGGAGGAGGAGGAGGAGGAGGAGGAGGAGGAGGAGGAGGCCTGCGGAGCTGAGGTGCAAGCGGCAACCGAATGGGCCGATCGCAACCGGCTGAGGGCCGCTCATCTTGCCGGCTCCCCTCAGCTCGTTCTGAGCGGCGTTCCAGAGCGGGTCGTGCGTCTTCGCCTGACGGGGTGAAGGGGCAGGAGGCGGCCGGTCCCCAGACCTCAGAGTCGAGCCTGAGGCACTCCACGATTCTCGGGGTCTGGGGGCCAGTTCTGGGGCTCTGGGTGGGGAGGAGGAGGGAACTGATAAATCCAGCGCGCCGAACGCCCAGGACCTAGCTGCGGTCGCGGTGGTCCTGCCATTTCCCTTCGCCATCCTCGTGCACTCCCCAGAGGAGAGCCATATTGAGGTACTGGCGGCCCTCACCAACGAGGAGGGGGACGAGGGAGCAGAAGGAAGGAGGAGGGACAAGGATCGAGGGGGCGGATAGGGAGGAGGAAACGAGCGCACACGGAGGAGGAGGAGGAGGAGGAGGAGGGAGGAGGAAGGAGGAGGAGGAGGAAAAGGAGAGAAGGGATGATGATGATGATGATGATGATGATGATGGATGATGATGATGATGATGAGATGATGATGATGATGATGATGATGATGATGATGATGCTTGATGATGATGCTGATGATGATGATGATGATGATGATGATGATGGATGAGGATGATGATGCTGATGATGATGAAGGAGGAGGAGAGAGGGGGAGGGAGAGGAGGAGGAGGAAGGAGAGAAGGAAGGAGGGGGAGGAGGACGATGGAAGAGGAGCAGGGAGGAGAGAGGGCTGGAGTGGATCCAAGCTTAAGCGCTTCAGCAACGGCGTTGGGACCGAGGACTTGCCGAGGGAAGGAGCCTGAAGACCTCGTGACCGCGCGCAGGGCTCGTGAGTGCTGTCCGAGCCACGGCGCCTGCGCGCCGAGACACCGCGCGGCCAGGATCGACCAGAGCGAGGGCCCCGCCGGGGGGGAGGGGAGGAGGAGGAGGAGGAGGAGGAGGAGGAGGAGGAGGAGGAGGAGGAGGAGGAGGAGGAGAAGGGAGGAGGAGGAGGGAGGTGGTGGAGGAGGAGGAGGCCGACTGCTGTCCGCAGTGGCGGATGGCTTCTCGTCTCGCCAGCTCCGCCGACCCGCCGACCGAGCAGGAGCAAAAGGGGATCCCTAGAGGCCTCAGGCCAGGCGCACGAGGCTGTGCTCGGCCCTTCCGTGCCGATCGGTGGCGGCAGCAGGACCGCTCGTGCAGCAGAACGTGCGGGCACAGGGCATCCGCTGGACCTGAGTGGTTTGAGCAGGGACCGACCGTCCCACGAAAGGCCTACCACGAAATGTTCTAAGAACATTTCGTGGAAACCACGAAAGGTTCTCAGAACATTGTCTGGTAGGCCTATAGGCACGCCAGGACGCTTCGCCACTGCTTGAGTGGTGGCTCGGGTGCAAGGCGACTCCGCGCGAATTCAGGACTGCTCCAAGCGTCACGACGGTGGACGACGGCCCAACAGGAGGCGGCGGAGGAGGGGGTTACTGACTGGCGCGCGTCTGTTGGCAGTCCTGGCAAGCCCAGATCTTTCCACGCCGAGCGAGGGCGTGGGACGAAATCGCAATCAAAACGGCACGAAGGCTGGGGCCTCTCCTCCAAGGCCGCTCGCTCCGCTCTGCCTGCAAGTTCTGCCGCTACAGTGTCCGCCAGGGCCCTGTGGGCGCGGCGCTTCACGATCGCTGCAGTGGTATCCGCCGGGTCGGTGCGAAGCAGGTCCCTCCCAAACGTTGGCAGCCATGGTGCCTACAACTCCCGTGATGGGGCCCGTGCTACCCGCACGAGCCCCCCACGACCGCACCACGCCTTGCGCGTGCGCTCCCGAGTCTTCTCCGGCATGCGGCTGGCCACGGGAGGATGCAACAGGTGCTCCCAACTACTCCCCTTCACAACCCACACCAGCAGCATTCGTTGCCGCACGTTTCCCCCGGCGCCACGCAGACGCCACGCTCTCTGAGCGTGGGACTGCCTGCTTACACCCAACGAGAAGCGTGGCCAAGATTACATGTGTTGCCCCCAGCGTACTTAGGGGCCACATCCCTGAAATAATTTCGGGCACCCGGAACAGTCTCGAACCAGTGTCGAAACAGTGTCGGACGAGTCACCCAGGGCCCGACACGTGAAAGCCCTCGGGTTTCGGTAGTTACTTTCTTGGTGCTCGAAATTCTTTCTGGTGGTTCAGGCTAAAGTAGGTTGGAACATCATAAGGCCAAGACAGCACCCAGCACCCGTGAACCGTGAGCCATCATCGCCGGGCAAAGAGTGCAACGATGGCTGCTCCACAGCGCCGCCCTGCCAGTCGAGTGCTTCCCCCCCGGTCCGCCCCCTGCAAGCCGTCAACCGCCCCTCCCCCCCTCCTGCAAGCCTCGCCTCCGCCGGCAGTCCCGAACTCCTGGGCCCGCGACGGCCTCCTCAGAGGCGCCAGAGGTGGTCCCCTGCACGGACGGGGCGCCGCGGCACCGCAGAGCTGGCCCTGCCTCGCGCTGGGACGCCGCGCCCCGACGACAGGGGACTGTGAGCTGGAGGCCCCGCTGGCCACTGCCGCGGGGACGCGTGCGAATGCGCGGGGGCACAGACGCCGCGACGTCGACGCTGCTGGCAGGGGTGGGGGAGCAGGGAGCGCGAGGGCCCGGGGGAGCCCCTCCGGGGCGGCAGACCTGGCCGAGGTCGGCGCGCCCTCCTGGAACGCCGGCCGCGGCGCCTCGGCCTCGACGCCGATCGATTGACATCGCGGCCGGCGCCCACCTCCGTGGAGGACGCGCGCCCGTCCACCCCCCCCCCCGCAGGAGAGGGCAGAGCAGCACCGGCGGCGTCCACGAGAGCCGCGCAGCTCCCTCTGGGCCACGGCGGTGGCCACCCGACACCCGCATCGAGGGCGAGCCGCCGGCACGGCTCGTCCTCGAAGTCACGCCCTATTCTGGACTCCTGAGAGTGCAGTGCCCGGGTTCGGTGAGGCCTGAAGAGAACAGGAGTGAGGTAGTGACAAGAAGTAGCAATAAAGGGCATGCTTGTCTTGTAATCGGAAGGAGTAGAATTTAAACCCCTTTTACGAATACACGTTGTTACGAATACCGATCGGAGGGCAAGTCTGGTGCCAGCAGCCGCGGTAATTCCGGCTCCAATCGCGTATATCAAAGTTAACCTCTTCGTGAAACAGCAGGTTGGAGGCATCCCTACTGGAGGCCACCTGAAGACCAAGCGCTTCTAAAGAGGGAAGGATGCTGGATGTGGAGAGTGGGGAGGAGGAGGCCACATACGGTCGGGAACTTTGGGATAGTGTTAGGTCGGGCATGTCCCCCTACAGCAGGATTTTGGACGAAAAAATAAAACATGGTCAAACATACCCCCAAATTGCCAAAACATGCTAAACCATCGTCCGCAGACCATTTTCTTTACTACTCTCGAGCACTCCTCCTGTAGGAGGAGAGCCCCGACTTTCAGGCTAGCGTGGCGCGGCGGCGGCCCCCCGCGACGTGCCATCCCCTGCGAGTGGACTGCGCGCCGCTCAGCTGCGCGGGGTGGGGGGGCCTTGGCGAAGCTCGGGGCGCTGACGCTCGGGAGCAGGGAAGTGGACAGCGCATCCAGGGGGCAGACAAACCTACCTCGCTTTTGACCATCCTCGCTTCCAAGGGATACCAAGCGGTGCCAAACTACGGCCTGTACTGGTCAGACCGCTTGACGAGGAGGCGCGTGGTGTGACTTGGTTCTGCCTGGAAGCGAAAGCGGGGTAGGGAATGCACGCTCTGAGCATCGCGCCGAAGCGCGGTGGGCCAGGACTGGCGGAACGACACGCTGTCAAGCGGCTCCCGACCGTGCCCGTCGAGCCTTCCCTGGATCTGCGAAGGTCACGATCTCTCGGTGACGTGGACCCCCGGTGCCCTGGACCTGGTCCCCGGGACCGACTCTCCGCCGCGGCTCATCCGTGCGGTGCTCCCATGGGGGACCGCCCAAGCGGGCCTCCACGAGCCCGCACGGAGGAGGCGTCGGGCCGCCACGACTTTGTGCGTGACGCCGGATGCCGGGGCCCTCCTCCATCGGGATCGGCCCCTGTGCATCCCCGGCGGCGCGCTCCGACCAGGGCTTCGGCCTCGGACGCCCCCAGGAGCCGCGAGGGGCATCGGAGCATCTCTTCGCCTGCATCCTCGTCTTCGTCGTTCTCTATCGTGGCCCTTCCTCCCCTCTCCCCCGCCCCGCGCCACAGGTGCCAAAGGTGAGAGGAAGACCTATATCCCCATCTGCTGCGTCTCGGAGTTTCGGAGTCCCTTTCCGAGAAGCCCGAGACGCTGTGGATGTGGATAGAAATCCTGCCTCTGGCGTCTGGTGAGGCCAGAACTTTATCAATATCCGCTGCGTCTCGGCTTTTTGACATCCCTTCCTTGTCCAAGACGCCGTGGATATGTATCCAAACCTTGCCCGCAAAAGGGGGGGGAGGGGGAGGAGTCCTGCTCCAGCTGAGACTCGGTGTACAGGTACTCCCGCTTGTCCTTCGCGTGTTTCTGCAGCGAGGCCTGCGGCCACGCTCGGCCGCTTCCCCTGGCCTCTCCCCTCCCACGCTAGGACAAGGGAAGATGGGGCAAGAGGAGATACGTGGAGGAGCAGAAACAAGAGGAGGGGGAGGAGGAACAGAGGAGAGGTTGTTGGAGGAGAGTGAGAAGGAATCTTTCCCAGACCCCCCGTGCTGTCAGATGCTCGTTTTCTCTCCGCTGCGCCGCGCGCCTATTCTCCCCCGTTCTCGTCCCCCTCCCCTCCTCCGCTCCCTCCTTCCCCTCCTCGCCCTCCTCCCCCTCCTCCTCCTCCTCCTCCTCCTCCTCCTCCTCCTCCTCCTCCTCCTCCCTCTCCTCTTCCTTTCTTTCTCCTGATGAATAATTTCTCCCTGTCGCACCCCGAGGCCAGTTTTTAGGGCGGGCCGGGCGTTTCGCCTGAGACTTCCTCACACATTATAACTCTGAAACTTATATATTGGCAACCGCTTCACGGATGGAGGGCGAGTCGTTTTCAACATGTGGCTCTCGCCTCAGCGCCGCGCACATTCGTGTTAAACACTTGCAAGGGTTTCACGGATTAAGGGCGAGTCGTTTTCAACATGTGGCTCTCGCTTTAGCGTCGCCTACATTCGTTTGAAACAGTTGCAAGAGTTTCACGGATTGAGGGCGGGCCGTTTTCAAAATGTGGCTCTCGCCTTAGCGCCGCGTGCACATTCGTTTTAAACAGTTGCAAGACTTTCACGGACTCCCATGACCGACGTACCAGAAATGGTGTTTTGGAAAGATTCAAGCTGATGAGGGTGCACAAAATATGTTGATTCGCGGTGCTCACTTTCCAGGAACAGCGTTTTGGCGCGATTCCGGATCGTCAAGACGAAACAGTCAGGTTGATCCGTGGCGTTGGAATCCCGAGAACAATGTTTTGGCATTCTTCAGGGTCTTGAAACAGTTGTCCTCCAACGAGTCAGTTCCCTCAAACAAATGAACCTTTGTAGGGGCCCGTGAAGAGGGAGCTTGGAGGCAGGGTTTCTTCCAAGATCGTCGATGCCTCTTGGGTTTACAATGGTCCTCCTCCTCCTACTCCTCCTCTGACTCCTCCTCCTCCTCCTCCTACTCCTCCTCGCCCTCCTCCTCCTACTCCTCTTCGCCCTCCTCCTCCTCGCCCTCGTCCTCGTCCTCGTCCACCTCCACGTCCTCGTCCTCGTCCGTGTCCTCCTCCTCCTCCTCCTCCTCGTCCTCCTCCTCCTCCTACTCCTCCTCCTTCTCCTCTTCCTCCTGCTCCTCCTCCACCACCTCCACCTCCTCCTCCTCCTCCTCCAGCGCCAGCAGCAGCAGCAGCAGCAGCAGCAGCAGCAGCAGCAGCAGCAGCAGCAACAGCAGCAGCAGCAGCAGCAGCAGCAGCAGCAACAGCAGCAGCAGCAGCAGCAGCAGCAGCCTGGCACCCCTCCGCAGCCAGGACGGGATCGGCGCAGCAGAGGTGCCCCTCTCCGCGCGGGCCGTGTCCACGGATGCCCCCCCCGTGCGTGACATGCGGCACCCTTGCCAGATCCCCTGCCCCTTCCCGCCGCGGCCGCCTGCGACTGCTCGCCGTGCCTCTCGCCCATGGCCGCCGCCCACCGCACCGAGGCACCCCCCGCGGCCCGCTGCTGGCCCTCCCAAGGGCCTGGTGTCGAGGCGCCGCTGGCCCGCGAGAGGGCCCCAGGCGCCAGGCACGGCATCGCGCCCGTGCCCGTGCTGCCGCAGTGACAACGCCCCCGGAGCCACCCATGGCCTCGAGGCCGCTGCCCAAGACCGGCGCCGAGCTCGGGGAGCTGCGCGGCAGCTCGACGACTGCCTCTGCCGCCCAGGGCCGGCAGGGCCCCAGGCTGAACTTCGTGCTGAAGCATACGACGGCGGCTGCCGCCCAAGACCCTGGCGTTGAGCTCGGAGAGTGGCGCGGCAGCTCTGCCGCCAAGTCTGGAGAGCACGCACCTGGATCCGCACGCGGAAGTGGCGGAGACCACTCGCCAAACACCGGACTCGCAGGCGGGAGGCCCCACGGCGCCGCCGGCCCGCGCAGCGCCTCCCAGGGGTGGTAGCGCGGATCGCTCGGGGCCAGCACTGGGCCGCCCTGCGAGCTACTGCCGCCTGGACGCTCCAAACTGGACTACGCCCTCGGCCTCTGCTTGGACGCCACCCTCTCCGTCGTGACGTCAGCCGCCACTGCCGTCACGACAGGGGCCTTCCGTCGTACTAGGCTCGAAGAAGTTTACAGCGAGCGGAGCAGCAGAAAGGCATGTGTCATTGCAGTGGCCTCTGCCTGGATGCCGCCATTTCTGTCCTGGCCGCCACGCTGCTCGCCCCTGGCTCGGAGGCGCTGGTGACGACCCGCTCTCGCAGCAGCGCCTGCACGGCTCGCGCGCCATTGCCCCGCGTGCCCCCTGGCGCCGACAGCTCGGAGCCGCCCCTGGGCCGCCCTGCAGGCCGCTGCCGACTGGGTGCTCCAAGCTGGACTGCGCCCTCGGCCCTCGGTCTGCGCGTGGACGCCGCCCTTTCCGCCCTGGCCGCCACGCTGCTCGCCCATGGCTGGGAGGCGCTGGCGACGAGCCCAAGGCGTGGGCACGGAGGCCCCCTGCGCGCCCCTGCCCACGATTTTTTTTTGTTGCAGCGCTGAGCTTTGCTCCTGCGCTGCCCCGGCCGTCTCCCCGCCCGTCCCCTTTCTCCCCCCCCCGGGCCACCCCGAACCCCATCTCTACTGTCAGCGGGAGGCGGGTCCTGAGCGCCAGGCCAGGCCTTCCCCAAAACCACCCTCTCATCCCGAACCATTGTCTGACAGGTCCCCAGAGCCCGCAGAGGGCCCCGGGGGATGCTAAAGACGGCTTGGGGTGGGTGGTGGGTTTCAAAATGTGACTCTCGTCTTCGCGACACTCACAATCGTACATATATATATGTATCTATATATATATGTATATATATACTATATATAACCAATAAATATATATATATATATATATATATATATATATAATATATATATCAAGACTGCATTGGCGCTGCGCGCCATGCACCTTGGTCCTTTGGAATTCGCGCGCTAGCGGGGTGCGAGCGTGCGTACATGCGCACACACATGCGTCTATGAATGCATAGTACATAAGTACACGCATATATATATACGCGTTTGTGTGTATACGTACATGTATATGCAGATGGTCAGTGTAACTATGTGCGCGCATACACATGCGTATATCAGGCGGTAGTGGCCTGACCAGTTGCTCATATCAACGCGCCACTTAAAGGCGCGAGGGTCTCAGGCAAACGTGGTCAGACTACCGTGGGACAATGCGTCGCCGAGGTCACTGTCGCGAGGACGTCCCGGGTGAAAATGGCCTGAACACCTCCGCTCAGGGGAGGGCATATCTGGTGTCAGCCGCGCGGGGAAGTTTCAATCGAGGAGTGGTTTGAACGCCTCTGCTCAGGGCATCCTTGAATTTAGAGTTGCGAGAAGTCGCGCGCGAAAGTGGCCGAACCGCCATGGTGCAAGGCACCTCCGAAGTGAGACTTGCGAGAGTGTCTCAAGCGACAGTGGCTGGAACACCTGAACTGAGAGTGTCTCGGGCCCCAAAGCTGCGATGATGTCTCAAGCGAAAGCGGCGGGGTCGACGAGGCACGGCGCTTCTGAGGTCGGAGTTGCGAGCATATCTCTGGCGAAGCGGATTAGACTACTTTCCGTTATCTCCTCTTCCTCCTTCCCCTGTTCCTTTCCTCCTCCTCCCCCTCCCCCCCCTCCTCCTCCTCCTCCTCCTGTTCCTCCTCCTCTTCCTCTCCCCCCCCCCCGCTGCTTTTTTTTTGCCCGTTCTCCCCATCCCTGGCGGCGCGGCGCGGCGCCGCTCGGCCTCTCTGCGAATCAAGCGGCAAAGGGTGAGAGAACCCCCCCGAATTAGGAGGGGTTTTTCCCGGGCCGCCAAGGGGGCCCGAAGGTAGTGCAAGAAGCGGTGCAGGTTTTGAAAACCCCCAGGGGCTCCTCGGATTCGGCCGGCCCTCTCCGGCAAGGTAGGCAAGGGCGCCGCGCCCAGGTGCTCAATCCCCCCGGTTTGTATTGAGTGCTGCGAGAAGCTCAGTCGAGGCGGGAGGAGGAACATGAAGAGGATGAGGAGAAGGAGGAGGAGGAAGAGGAGGAGGATGAAGAGGAGGAAGAGGATGAAGAGGACAGATTATGTGGATATATGGGGCACAACCGAGGTGTCGCGGAAGAAATCCACAGCAGAGACTTGGGGGAGTGAGGAGAGCTGCTTCTGCTAGACTTTTGGCGGGGCGGAACGTGAAACATCACGGGGACTTAGGAGAAGGAGGAGGATGAGGTAGAGGAGGAAGAGAATGAGGAAGAGGAGGAGGAGCTCTTGGGCCCTTCGGTGGTTCAAACGAAAAATGGCCTCGCTGCGCCATTTGATACGACAACGACGACGAAGAAGGCGACGACAAAGAAAAGGGATAATGAGAGGGGGAGACCGCTGTATTGTGATCTCGTGGTGCGCCTCTCGGGGCCCTCTGGGAAGCAGTTTTGAAGCCTCTTGGGGGTGTTTTAGGGTTCTGGGGATCTTTTTGGGGCCTCTTGGGGGCTCCTTGGGGCCTCTTGGGAGCCTCTTGGGGCCTCATGGGGCTCTCTCCGGGCCTCTTGGGGCCCTCTCGCGGCGGAAAATTTGGTTTTTGAGTTTTTGGGCGCCCTCTTGGGTCTCTCTTGGGGCCGTCTTGGTGCTCTCTTGGGCCGTCTTGGGCGCCTCTTGGGCGGTCTCGGAACCCTCCTGGACCGTGTTGGGACCTTCTTGGGGGCCTCTTGGGCAGTACTGGGGCGATCTAGGGAGCCCCTTGGGCCATTGTGGAGCGTCGGGCAGCGGGAACAGCGGGAAGGCCAACAACATCGAAAAACACACAGGAACATCAACAATTGTAGCCTCTCGGGGCTCTCTTGGGAAGCCTCTTGGGGGTCTCTGGGGGCGTCTTGGACGCGTCTTGGGCAGTCTTGGGCCCATATTGGGCGTCTTGGGCCGATCTTTCGGTGTCTCGGGGCCCTCTTTGGCCGTCGTGGGTTTTTTTTGTTCGCGTCGCACTCGCAGGACAGACACGGAGCACTCTGCAGGAGCGCCCCAAAGGCTCGGGGAGGCCGAAATTCGACTGGGGGGGGGGGCACCGTGTGCCGCTTTTCCGGGGTCCCCGGCCTTGTAAAAAAATATAAATAGGAATAAGCAGAACATGTACAACAACTTCACGGATGGAGGGTGGGTGATTTCCAACTTGTGGCTCTCGCTTTGGCGCCGCGCGCATTCGTCTAAATTTCTACAGTGCTGTCAGTGGTGGGCGGCGGGTGTCTTTCAACATGTGGCTCTCGCCATAGCGCTGCACACACTTGTCGTTACAAGTTACAAACATATGAGTTCTGGCACGATTTGATACGGTCATGACGCAAGAAACAGTCAGCTCGGATTGAGGTGTTGAAGTCCGAGGAATTGTGGTGTGGCACGATAGATAACTGTCGGGGCGCAGCCTTTACGTTGATTTGCGGTGTTGCAATGGTGCTGTGGCGCGAATCGGATTGTTAAGACGCAACAGTCACGTTGACTCGCGGAATTGACGTCCCAGGAACTGCGTTTTGGCAAGATTGAAGACTCTCAAACGATTGTTTCTCAACGGGGCACTCGTCGCAGCAAACAACACTTCTTTGAGGTGCCTACGAACAACGGACTTGGAAGGAGGGTATGCAGCAACATCGTTGACGCGTTTTGGGTTTGCGCTGGACTTCCTCCTCCTCCTTCTCCTCCTTCCCCCAGCCTTCCTCCCTTCTTCATCCCTTCTCCCGCGGCCCTCCATTTCTCTTTTCTTTCTCCCTCCTTCCTTCTTCGTGCCCTCGCGCTGAGTTGCTGAACGTGTACAAAAACGCTTTCCCTCTTCGCGCGGACGGGACACCCTCCCATGTCAAAAGCCTCCTTTCTCCCACTTCTCACCTCCTCCCCTCCTGCTCCTCCTCCTAGTCCTTTTCCTCTTCCTCCTCCACCTCTTCCTTCTCCTCCTCGTCCTCGTCCTCCTCCTTCTCCTCCTCCTCCTCCTCCTCCTCCTCCCCTCCTCCCCTCCTCCCTTCCTCCCCTCTCTCCCTCCCTCCCTCCCTCCCTATCGCCTATCGCCTTCCCACCCCTCCGCCAGCGGCACCGCAAGTCCATTTGCCGCGGGCACTCTGTGAACGGGAGCCGGCAGACTTTCCCGCCGCCCCGCAACCAGGGCGGCCCCAAATTGTGCCGTGGAACTTGGCGACGCACGCGACGATGAAGGTGTTGACTGTGAGAGCCACCCAGCGCCCCCGGCCCCTTCCAGGTCCGCCGCTCAACTCCTTCTCCTTCTCCACGGCCGCCGCCGCCAGGTGCAGCCCCCCGCCGCGGCCGCCCGTCCCAGCGGCGCTCCAGAGCAGTGCGCGCGGCAGCTCTAGCTGCGCGCATATTAGCGTGCGGCCAGCCTGTCAGCCCGCGCGCGCCGCCAGTGCGCCCAGCCGCCGCGGGCGCGCCCGCGGGCTCAGCGCAGCCCCGCGGCGTACCGCAGCTGGTGGGCCAGGGCTCGCTGCGGCGCGCACTTCAGCACCCAGCACGCCCCCCGAATTCTGCCTGCTGCGAGGCCCCTGGGAGCTCCCTGACCAGGCTGTCCCGCGCATCGCCGCCTCGCCGCCCCCCGACTCCATGGCGAGCGCGGTCCGGCGCTTGCCTGGGCAGCGCGCGCGCGCGCGCTTCGTGCGCTCAGCCCGCCGCGCCGCCTCGCCAGGACGTCTTGCTGCCGGTGGCACTGGCGCCCCGTCTCCCGAAGCGGAGTGGCGGACGGCTGCGCCGAGCCACCGTCGGCCGCCCACAACGTCGTGCCCGACGCCCACGGTGGCGCGCTCGAGGGCCTCCGCTTGCCCGTGCCGCGGCGCGCGCGGCCTGTGACAGGTGGGCACGTGCTGCTCCCCAGGGCGGCGTGCAGCGGCGCCACCTGTCGGCGAGGACGCCCGCAGCGCGCGCCACGCCTGCGCGCCGCACGACCACGCCTCCGCCTGGCTGGCAGACGGCAGCGTGGTGCCCCGCCGTGTCCAGCGGCGTTTGGCAAGGCGTCCCGCTGCTCCTCGCGAGCTCGACGGCGGAGCACTCTGGCCGCGGCAGCTGGACGCGGCTCTTCCCTCCCTCCCTCCCTCTACAATGACACATCAAGAACACTTTCCTTCTCTCTCTCTCTCTCTCTCTCTTCGCTGGCCCTGTGCGGGAGATGCTCCGCCCTCTCGCGTATGTTTTCCCCCACAGAACTCCACAGCAGTAGTCTTTCCTTTGCTTTGTTTGTGCTCCGATCGCTTTTTCGATGTTTCAGCACGGCGTTCCCGCGGCAGCGTGGGCAGCATCGTCGGATCGGCGATTAGCCCCCCGTCGCTCAGCCTCGCCTCAGCGTGGACCACTCTTCTCTTGGTCCGAATATTACCTCCTCGCGGTCGCCCCCCCATCCTCTCCCCTCCTCCGCCCTCCCCTGTGTCCTTCTGCTTCTCCCGCTCCTTCCGCTCCAGCTCCCTTTGCCGCTGCTCGTCGTCCTCCTTCCTCTCTCGTCCTCGCTCGATGTCTCCTGCTCAACGCCTCGGACCTCTCACGATCCTCCTGCTCCTCCCCTCGTCCTCGTCAACCTCCCTCTTCTTCTTCCTCGTCCCTCTCCTCCTGATCATCCCCCTGCTCACCCGCCACCTCCCCCTCCCCCTCCTCCTCCTCCTCCTCCTCCTCCTCCTCCTCCTCCTGCTCCTCCTCCTCCTGCTCCTCCTCCTCCTGCTCCTGCTCCTCCTCCTCCTCCTCCTCCTCCTCCTCCTCCTCCTCCTACGTACGCAACTGCCAGGTTCTGGCACGTTGCCGCAGCTCTCGCGAGCTCGACGGCGGAACACTCTGGCCGCGGCAGCTGGACGCGGCTCCTCCACCCCTCCCTCTACAACGACACATCAGGAATACAATTCTTCTCTCTTTCTCTCTCTCTTTCCGCTGGCCCTGTGCGGAAGATGCTCCGCCCTCTCGCGCATGTTTTTCCACACAGAACTC